GTGTATAGATGCTCAGTATTATTATACAGAGCGACATGTTTATTATCAGCGTATAGATGCTCACTATTATTATACAGAGCGACATGTTTATTATCAGCGTATAGATACTCAGTATTATACAGATCCACATATTTATTATCAGCGTATAGATACTCAGTATTATTATACAGAGCGACATGTTTATTATCAGCGTATAGATACTCAGTATTATTATACAGAGCGACATGTTTATTATCAGTGTATAGATACTCAGTATTATTATCCAGAGAAACATGTTTATTATCAGTGTATACATACTCAGTATTATTATACAGAGCGACATGTTTATTATCAGCGTATAGATACTCCGTATTATTATACAGAGCGACATGTTTATTATCAGTGTATAGATACTCAGTATTATTATACAGAGTGACATGTTTATTATCAGTGTATAGATACTCAGTATAATTATACAGAGCGACATGTTTATTATCAGTGTATAGATATTCAGTATTATTATACAGAGTGACATGTTTATTATCACTGTATAGATACTCAGTATTATTATACAGAGCAACATGTTTATTATCAGTGTATAGATACTCAGTATTGTTATACAGAGCAGCATTTTAACTTATCAGTGTATAGATACTCAGTATTATTATACAGAGCGACATGTTTATTATCAGTGTATAGATACTCAGTATTATTATACAGAGCGACATGTTTATTATCAGTGTATAGATACTCAAGATTATTATACAGAGCGACATGTTTATTATCAGCGTATAGATACTCAGTATCATTATACAGAGTGGCATGTTTATTATCAGTGTATAGATACTCAGTATTATTATACAGAGCGACATGTTTATTATCAGCGTATAGATACTCCGTATTATTATACAGAGCGACATGTTTATTATCAGTGTATAGATACTCAGTATTATGATATAGAGCAGCATTTTAACTTATCAGTGTATAGATACTCAATATTATTATACAGAGCGACATGTTTATTATCAGTGTATAGATATTCAGTATTATTATACAGAGCGACATGTTTATTATCAGTGTATAGATACTCAGTATTGTTATACAGAGCCACATGTTTATTATCAGTGTATATATACTCTGTATTATTATACAGAGCAGCATTTTAACTTATCAGTGTATAGATACTCAGTATCATTATACAGAGCGACATGTTTATTATCAGTGTATAGATACTCAGTATAATTATACAGAGCGACATGTTTATTATCAGTGTATAGATATTCAGTATTATTATACAGAGCGACATGTTTATTATCAGTGTATAGATACTCAGTATTGTTATACAGAGCCACATGTTTATTATCAGTGTATATATACTCTGTATTATTATACAGAGCAGCATTTTAACTTATCAGTGTATAGATACTCAGTATCATTATACAGAGCGACATGTTTATTATCAGCGTATAGATACTCCGTATTATTATACAGAGCGACATGTTTATTATAGGTGTATAGATACTCATTATTATTATACAGAGTGACATGTTTATTATCAGTGTATAGATACTCAGTATAATTATACAGAGCAACATGTTTATTATCAGTGTATAGATATTCAGTATTATTATACAGAGTGACATGTTTATTATCAGTGTATAGATACTCAGGATTATAATACAGAGCGGCATGTTTATTATCAGTGTATACATACTCATGATTATTATATAGAGCGACATGTTTATTATCAGTGTATAGATACTCAGTGTTATTATACAGAGCAGCATGTTTATTATCAGTGTATAGATACTCAGTATTATTATATAGAACAACATGTTTATTATCAGTGTATAGATACTTAGTATCATTATACAGAGCGGCATGTTTATTATCAGTGCATAGATACTCAGTATCATTATACAGAGCGACATGTTACTCAGTGTGTGAATTTGGGCAGCGTGCATTATTAACCCCTTAAGGACACATGACATGTGTGACATGTCACGATTCCCTTTTATTCCAGAAGTTTGGTCATTAAGGGGTTAAACTTCTAAATGTATTTCTAAGTTAGTTTGAGTTGCTCTTGGCTTAGCCCCCCCCCAGCAGCCCATACAGGATCCATAGACACAATCTAATGGTGTAAAATAAAATGTCAATCATCCAGTTGTTTTAGCCAGTTCCATTAGTAGGAATACACACAGGGTCTGCCAGCTTCATCCAGCTACTCTGAGGACTCAGATCCCCTCTGTGAGCACACTGTCAGTCTCCATGCTTGCTGACTGTGAGCCCAGCTTCACTTCCTACTCACACACAGCGGTGACGTCATCCCCCCTCCCCCCTGTGCAGAGACTGAGCACAGTGTATTCTCACTGAACGGAGTGTGAGTGCTCACTGAACGGAGTGTGTGTCCCCAGGCAGGCAAGTTTTATACACTACAACTGGGGGGCTGAGGCAGGGGTAAATGGGACAGTATGGGGGGGAGAGTGAGAGGGGGGCAGCATGGAGGGAGAGCGGGGGCAGCATTGAGCGGGAGAGAAAGAGAAGGGGAACATGGAGGGAGAGATGGGGAGGAGGGGGGAACATGGAGGGAGAGTTTAGGTGGGCAGCATGAGGAGAGGGAGAGTGAGAAAGGCATGGAAGGAGATATGGGGGCAGCATGGGATGTGAGAGAGAGAAGGAGAGGGGGGAACACATGGAGGGAGATGGGAGGGGGGGGGCAAGTTAATGGAGGGAGAGATGGGGGAGGGGGCAGCATGGAGGGAGAGGGGGGCAGCATGGAGGGAGAGATGGGGAGGGGGGCAGCATGGAGGGAGAGAAAGAGATGGGCAGCAGGGAGGATTCTGAGTCATTAATGGAATGCTGCCACTAGTCAGACAATTAGTTTAAATTGGGAAGTATAACTAAATGATATGGTAGAGGGTGATACAGATATTCTGTGGGTTGTGTGGAGTGTGGATCATTATTATTTAATGTATAACCTATCATTGTTGCATATACTGCAGACACATGGCATTTTTCAAGGTTAACTCATCAATGGAAGGGTTAGATGTTTAAGTTAGGACAAAGCCATGTGTTGCCTGTCAATCAAAGGGTTAACAAGAAACCCTGACTTTGTACTTTTGAAGCTAGCAATAGATAGTGTCTGCTGACTGCAGCTACATACCATACATTACATCATATAGCAGGGAGCATGTGAGAGCATTTTTGGGAGAAAGATACAGCTATATAAACATGTAAAAGGACAGTCAGACCTCCTCATTCATCCATAGTGCACACATCCTGCAGTCATTCTTCACACCAATTCTCTTTGTAAGATTATTAACCCCTTCAGGACAGAGTCAATAGTGCACGTTCTGATGAAAACAAAATGTAAACAAAAACTATAATTTACTCTTTATATCTGTTCAACCGTAATTCACCTCTCATATTATGTGCACCCACACTTATAAGAAAAAACAAAAAAAGGGGGAAACCTTCTAGGGAGAGAGTGTCAGGTTACTCAATTAGTGAGAGGGGTAACCCCTAGGATTGAATTGGCTTAAAGAAAAGAACAAAGAAACCATGTAGGGGATCAACACTCATGGACAAGGAGTAACCCTAATAAAACATCACTTTTAATAAATAGATCACAAAATCCCTAACTGAAAAAAGAGAATTATTTAAATGAATATCTATAATATGATGAATCCTACAATAATAGTAAGAAAAATAATAATAAAATGAAATGTACAAAATCAAGAAAATATAAATAGATTAATGTTTTATTAGAAATAAAGAAAAAATCCAGAGACTATCCACTCTAAAACTGTGGACTGTATATCTCAGTCAAACTGGAAAGTAACAATATCTATAATAACAAAATTGTAGCGATGGAGACAGTGTCTATCTAATAGTTTAAAGTTAACCAAACACG